ACAATCCGCCCGCCTCGGCCTCCCAGAGTGCTGGGATCACAGGCATGAGCCACCGCGCCCGGCCGCCACTGAGTTTTTAACAAGCTTAAAGGAACAGATGAGCGAGTACTCTGGATTGAATATTGAAGACCCCTTAGGCCAAGGGATTTTAAAGCTACATTTTGTGACCAACAATTGCCTGGACGTTGCTAAGAAGCTGCAAAAACTAGAGGTTGGCAGGATAGGAATTTAGAGGACCTACTCAGAGAGGCACAGAAAGTGTATGTGAGATGAGACGAGGAGAAGCAGAAACAGAAGGCAAAGATTATGCTCTCCATCTTAGAAAAAGCAACCCGAGGCAATAAGGCCCCTAGAAATCAAACACCCAAGGCGCCCCATGGAGAGTGTTTCCAGGGAAGACAAGGAAAAAGGCGGCCCAGGGGAAGGAAGGGGAGAGGATACATGTTGCAAGTGTGGGAAGGACGGACACTTTAAAAGGGAGTGTCGGGACTGGAAGAAAGAGGAAAAGGTAATGGCCCTCATGGCCTTTGAGGGAGAATAGGGGGTCAGGGGCTCTTTTGTGTTGAAGGGTCCTACCAAGAGCCCTTTGTAAATTTGGAGGTGGGACCCCGAGGGGAGGAAATCACCTTCCTTGTTGACTCAGGAGCCGCCCGCTCCTCTCTAATGTGCCCTCCTGCCACTGTGCACCTGGCCAACGAATGTCTGCACCAGGGGTAAAAGGGGAAGTTTTAACATCCTGATCTTCAAGGAGACCCAGGTCATATGCAAAGGCTGGAAAGCACAAGTAGAATTTCTTTTTGTGCTGGAAGGGAAGCAGGAACAGATCTCCTGGGCCGAGACTTGATGTCAGGATTAGGGATAGGATTAGCTGTTGACCAAAGAGCAATCCAAGTTTCCTTTTTTTTTTTTTGAGACAGAGTCTCGCTGTGTTGCCTGGGCTAGAGTGCCGTGGTGTCAGCCTAGCTCACAGCAACCTCAAACTCCTGGGCTCAAGCGATCTCTCCTGCCTCAGCCTCCTGAGTAGCTGGGACTACAGGCATGCGCCACCATGACTGGCTAATTTTTTCTATATATATTTTTTAGTTGTCCAGCTAATTTCTTTCTAGTTTAAGTAGAGACGGGGTCTTGCTCTTGCTTAGGCTGGTCTCGAACTCCTGACCTTGAGTGATCCTCCCACCTCAGCCTCCCAGAGTGCTAGGATTATAGGCATGAGCCGCCACACCCAGCCAATCCCAGTTTTCTTAAACTTTCTGTCCACCAAGGAGGAGGAAAGAATTCTCCCCGAAGTCTGGACAAAGGAAGGGAATGGCGTTTCCCCAGTACAGGTTAACCTCAAGACTCCAGGGAGACTGTCTGAAGAAGACAGTACCAGTTCCTGTAGAAGGAAGGCTCATAGAAAGTTATAGAAAGTTTACTGAAGGATGGTCTCCTTGAACCCCGTATGTCTCCCTTCAACACCCCTATGTTACCTGTAAAGAAACCAGATGGATCATATAGATCAGTTCAGGATTTAAGGGCAGTCAATCAAATCGTTAACTGTTGGCTCCGTGTGGTCGCCAACCCACATACCCTTCTCAGCAAGATCCCTTATAGTCATAATGGTTCAGGGAAGTGGATCTAAAAGATGCCTTCTGGGCCTGTCCTCTGGCTGGGGATAGCGAGACTTGTTCGGTTTTGAATGGGAAGATCCACACACTGGGAGGAAATGGCAATACCAAGGTTTTGCTGAGTCGCCCAACTTGTTTGGGCAAATCCTTGAACAAGTGCTGGAAAAATTTGTAACTCCCCCTCCGATCAAGCTCCTCCAGTATATAGATGATTTACTGGTCTCGGGGGACGGAAGGGAGGAGGTGGCAGACACCACTATAAATTTACTTCATTTTCCGGGCTGACAGGGCTTATGGGTCTCGAAAACTAAATTGCAATTTGTAGAAAGGAGGCAAAGTATTTAGAACGTTTGATCAGAGAAGGGAAGCAAAGATTAAGCCCCGAGGGAATCTCGGGAATGGTCAGTATGCCTTTACCAGCTACAAAGAGAGACTGAGGAAACTTCTGGGATCGATAGGGTAGGGTAGTGCCGGTTGTGGGTAGACTCCTGTGCTCTCAAAACCAAAGGGTTATATCTTGAACTTTCAGATGAGGAGCCTGACTCCCTCCTTTGGAGGCCTGAAGAAACTGAGCCGGTAGATGCCCTCAAGCAGGCCCTCATCACAGCCCCAGTGCTGGCATGTCCCCCCACACCCCCCGCCACAACCTTCCTTCTGTTTGTAAATGTTGACAAGGGAAGCCTCAGGAGTTTTAGCCCAAGAACCCGGAGGACATAAACAGCCTGTGGCGTTTTTGTCTAAGCTTTTCGACCGTGTTTCTGGAGGGTGGCTGGAATGCATCCAGTCAGTAAAAGCCATCCCCCTCTGAACGGAAGAAAGCAGGAAACTTATGTTCGGGGAGTCTGCTTTTCGGCGCGCCCCACCAGGTCAGAACTATTCTCCACCAAAAGCTGGGGAGATGGCTTGCGGACTCCAGGGTCTTAAAGTACAAAGCCGTCCTCTTAGAAGGAGATGACTGAACACTCATCGCAGATAGTTGCCTAAATTGCACTGAGTTCCCACTTGGAGGGGAAGGAAGTGCTCCAGCTGCGCGTTGTTGTGTGGGTGTAATACGATACCAAGCTGAAGTTCGGCCAGGCCTTGGAGCAACCCCTCCCAGAGGGGTCTTAGATTGAATGGGTCTTC